TGCTGCTTCTTCATTTTACATGTGAAAAAACTGAGTTTTGAGGCAGTTGAGGGATTTATCTACCTTGGGTCACGTGGTGAGATGATGGCAGAATAGTGAGCTGGAGGGAGACCTTTTTGAAACTAATTTTTGGCTGAACATTTTTGAAAGAAGTTTATGTACTTGGATGCCTTTCCTAAATGCCCTTCTTTTGTAAAGAGGATCAGACGTCAGATCATGAGCTCCAGGAGACTGTGTCTTATTCACTGTTACAATCAGCACAATAGCTTTTGTGTCTTGAGTGCACAGTAAGTCTCACCTGAGTGTTTGACCCTTCTTCTGGTTTAACATCTGTAGAAATCTGGAGTTTTACCTGTGGGTTTTGTTGGAAATGGCCCTGTGGGGTGGGAGAGCTGCTATGAGTAATGGTGACTGTATTGATAAAGGCTTACTGTGCCCCAGCACTGGGCTAAGCCTTACACCCATTATTACATTTAATTCTTATGGCAGCTCTAGGAGGTAGGTATTACAAGAAACTGAGGTGCAGAGAGGTTAAGTAACTTGTCCAAAGCCACAGAATTACTAAGCAGTGGAGTTAAGGCTCATGCCCAGGCCACCCGACTCCAAAGCCTGTGTTCTGAAGCACCTCCCTGTGCTGGGGAATTGGCAGTGTGGGGAGTGTTCTCAGAAAACAATCTGATGGAGGGACCATCTGACTAGATGAAAGTGTATTAGGGTACAGGTTAGACTGCTGGAACAAAGTAACCCTCAAATAAACTAGTTGCTGTCCAGTTGAGTCCGACTCATGGCAATCCCACGTGTGTCATTGTAGAACTGCGTTCCATAGGGTTTTCAGTGGCTGTGTTCTTTTGGAAGTAGATCACCAGGGCTTTCTTTGAAGGTGCCTCTGGGTGGATTTGAACCCCTAAGTAGAGTACCTCAAACAGGATAGAAGCTTATATCTTTCTCACATAAAAATCCAGGAGGCAGTCCAGGCTGGTATGGCTGCTTCATGAGCATCAGGGACCCAGGCTTTTTCTTTCTCCTGTCCCACTGTAATCGACATATGACTTCCATCTTGTGGTCCAAGGTGGCTGTTCTACTTCCTGCCATGACGTCTAGATTTTAACCAGGGAGGGAATAAAAAATAGGGGGCATCCTTTAAGGGAATGGCCCAGAAGTTGCATACATCACTTCTTCTCATATTCCATTGGCTAGAACTTAACCACATGACCATATCTAGCTGCAGGGGAGTCTGGGAATTGTAGTCTTCAGCTGTGTGGCACAGTAGCCAGTCATAATTTGGGGGTTCTGTTGCAAAGGAGCGCTGGTGGCACAGTGGTTAAGCGCTTAGCTGCCAACTGAAAGGTCAGCGATTCGAACCCACTAGCTGCTTTGCGGGAG